CACACGGCATCCTTGACTATTTTCGAAGAAAAAGGTGGGTGGGAGTTTTAAGGCGACATTTTCCCCGCCCCCCCCCCCCCCCCCCCCCCCCTCCCTCTCCATTACAGACACCATAGCAATGGAAGAGAACATTACAGACATACATCCCCATTAAAGACCTTACTAATCAATAATAAAAGTTGCCAGATTTTCGAGTGTTTTTTTTTTGGAAAATTGATCAAGTTATAATTTTGAAAAATAATGAATATCATTATTTGTGTCTTGATTAATATATATGATAGTGTGTAAGATTTGCTGTAGATATCATAGATATGTAAAACATACTTATTTGTCAATCAATTCAATGATTATAATAATAAGAATGATAAATTAAGAAAAACGAATTAAAAAAAAAATAATGAGCGAATAGCAACAATGCAAACAAAAAATAGGGCGACCATAGAAAAAAGTTTAAAAACAAATTCTGTTCGAAATGCAAAAATTCGAGAGGTTCTTACTCTTGTGATTGATTATCCTGCAAAACAACTAGTCTAACGAGGGAAGGTCCTCAACTGTCCAATCGCTTTTGAGTTCGGACCCTGTGCATAAGGTAAACCCCAGTGAAGTATGAAAAATTCCAAAAGAATAACGGCCCTTAGGCCTTCTGTTCAGAGTTACAGGGATTTTACTGGAATTACAGCCTATGGCATGGTATTTACCAAAATATCGAATGACGATATTTCGGGTTGAGATTTTGCCCATAGACAGGTCTAGTTGTGAGTAGAATGACCCGAAAATTTTAGCTCAAAAGAATGTTTCCTTCCCGAGATATTAAAATCTCATATTTCCCGAGAGCTGCTAGAATTTTCTGTTTTTTTGGACTTTTATATTTTGAGAAGGAAACATTCTTTTGAGCTAAAATTTTCAGGACATTCTACTCATAACTAGACCTGTCTATGAACGAAATCTCAACCCGAAATATCGTCATTCGATTGGTTGGTAAATACCATGCCATAGGCTAAAATTCCAGTAAATTTTCTATAACTCTGGACAGAAGACCTAAGGACCGTTATACTTTTGGAGTTTTTCATACTTCACTGGGGTCTACCTTATGCACAGAGTCCGAACTCAAAGGTGGTTGAACAGTTGGGGACCTTCCCTCGTAAGAGAGATTTTTCAATTTACGTATTTTGTATTAGTTGAATGAGGCTAGAGAGCATATGTGAGTTCCACATTTCCGCCTCAAAGGGGCTGCGCTAACAAGCTTTTTCTATCATTTTTTCAATACTACATAATTTTAAGTTAATACCACCTCTCATCGTAATACATCGGCAGTAGCCATTGTTTCAATATCTTCAGAGCCATGACAAAGGGTGTGGGCGCGTACAGAAAAAGAGAATATCCACAGCCACATCCACATAGATTGAACATGATTATTCTATCGAATTTTTGTGTATCTAATGATATGTG